ATACACATACATCACAGCGATAGTAAGCAACAATTCCTTTAGCGTCATTAAATATATAGATAAAGAGTTTTTAGAGGACATAGATATGTATACTCAATATAGTCAGACATGTGTCTCGAACGGAGAGTCGTAGACTCTCGTAGACTGTAGTCAAGTGTAAATAGTGTCATAGACCGATGTTTCTTTTAGTATATATATAAATATTTTTTAAAACAAAAAAAACAAAACAACAAAGCTTTAAATGCATAAAAAAATCATACATACATACAAAGATCTTTTTCTACAAAAAACAAAGTGGCTTGAACAGATTGATATGATATGAAACCCTAAATATAAATCCCAAATGTAGAAAGTGGTAATTTGGTACCGGACTACGGTATTTACTTCTTCATCGTCGTTAATAATTTGCTCTTGAAATCAGGGTATTTTTTCCAAATCTGCGCGGAATTGCTGGGCAAATATTTTTGGTATGATGTCTCGACAATGTCGTTTACTCTGGAGGAATTGTCGTTTACCTCACGTCTTCTCAAGTGCTCACTTCTCCCTTGTTATAAAAAAAAACCCCTAAATCAGCTGACTGAAAACGCATCGTGAAGAAGTCTATGAATAAGACTCAAAAACAACAGAATGACGTATTTTTTCATAGCCAGTCGTAAGAAAAAAAAAAGGATTTACGACAATGTCGAGACCAATATTTTTTTTTTCAGTCAACGACGTATTTCATTTGACTTTTTAGAGCGGTTTGTGGTCAGAACTAAATAGGTCTCTACTACATAAAGTCAGAACTCAGAAACAGACTTCAATATGTACGTGCTTCCTATATGCTGAAAACGCAGTACGTTTTACTTTAGCGCTTAGGTTTGAAACCGGTTTCCTATTTTTTAATTTACAGATAGTCATTGTATGCTTCCAGCCGTTTCCAAAAACATATTTTGTTTGGATCTGTACTTTATGTACCAATCAATAATTGATATATTATTTAACAATAGAAAGTTGGTCCAACTGATAACAAACTAGCTCATCTTTTAGAAAAATAGAATTGGCGGGCTTTCCTAATATGAGGCGGGCAAAAAAACTATGAAAACGAAGTCAATTTTACGTTTTAAATGCATCGATTTGAACGCGTGACTGTTTACGTATTGCGGATAGAAGCCTGATCAAAGTCAGCAAGTAGTCAGTTTCAAATATGTACATTAAAATAAATACATGATTTTTTTTATATTAAAAAATAAACAACTATTTGTTTTTCAAATGTAGTTTTATGATTTATCGAAATAAATATATTGCAGGAAGTCTCTTGGGAGTTGGGACTTGGCTCACTTGGGACTCCCTCGGGCGAATGAGCGTTGAGACGTGAGACTGTGAAAGTTGAGACTTTGGCTGTTGGCCTGGGTCCTGGCCCCTGGGGGCCCACTTGGACATGAACGTAATTCAGAATTAATAAACGTTAGATGTTCCAAAACATAGTTTTAGGAGTTTATTACCTGGGGCCCTGGGCTGTTGGGGGTTTATTGTTTTCGTTTTTAGGATATTTTTATTTATAGCCAATGCCCGAGTCAGGATGCCCAAATCCAGACTCGAGTCCTAAATAAAAGAATACGCACGTAGCCTTTTCAGCTATCAGCAGCAGCAGTGCCGTATAATATTTTTTACAAGGCTATGAATTTAGAGACATTCCACTTTCCAGCGACGCAGCAGCGGTCACCCGACGGCCGACGGCCGACATCAACCGACTTTCTTTGATTTGTTTTGTGTGTTTCGTTTCTATATATAATACAAAACAAAAACAACAAAACACTATCTAATTATAAAAATAATTTTTGCTTGCTGTTTTTCTTTTGTTGTTTGAAAAAAATAGCCTTCTAATACTAAACACTGCACAGTGCACAGTGCACACTGCACACTACACACTGCTCACTGCACACAGTGCATACTACACACTGCACAGTGCACAGTGCACAGTCGAGTGTCGACTGTACACAAGTATTAATAGTCGTCACTGGTCAGTCATCACCAGTTCACCCCAGCAGAGTACACAACAAGTTCTACCCAGTCGGCAGTCGGCAGTCGGCAGTCACATTCTGACACATAAAACACTCTCCAAACTCCACAGTCCACAGTTGCACAGCAGGTATCAGCAGTGAGCGTCACTGAGCAGTAAGCATCACTCATCAATCATAATTTACTGATTTAGATCACTGATTAATCTTTTTTATCTCTGACGGCCAATGAATTATCTTAAATTTTCTACTATGCATTTCTCCCCAGCTCTTGACAAACCCAAACAAACCTCAACGGAATAATATAGCCAGAAAAACCCCAAAAACTATACCGGAAAATATTTCGCATTGGAGTTTTTTGAGGTTTACGACTTTTAATTCTGAGGACTGGGACTTGGTAATTTTATATATAAACCCACGCACCGAGAGACTCAAATAAAAACCATAGCCTTTTAAAAAGAACAAAAAAAACGCTTGAAGGGAATAAGGGCATATTTATTAGCCTACTACTACTAGATAAAGTAAAACACTGCATGCGTCGATTGGGGACTAAAACCATAGAATGCTTGGGAGGGTTCCTTTTCGTATGAATTGTTTCTATGTATTTATAAAAAATTAGAATATAAACTTTTGAGAGAATTTGTATTTGTTTTTCTAATATTTTTAAACAAAACACAACAAAACCAAAAAACAATAGTAAAAAAAAAGTTAAACTTCGAGCATTTTTTCTAAAATACAAACTTCACCGCGGGGACGATCAACGTTAAGAATTTTAACGATTCGCGTTGGACTCTCCGCTACTGTTGGTATCACATTGTGTTCAATTTATTAGGCCTTTCTATATTCATGTACCGGGGTCTCAAATGGGCAAAACATGACACATTTGGGTTAAATATAGCTTATTAACCAATGGGAACGCTTTTGATTATAGACCTACAGGCTGTAAATAGCTCTGTGCTTTTAGTGAAAAGAAAGAGCTATTTAATATTGTTTTAAACAAACAAAAAAAACAAAAGCAAAAACAAATGGAAGTTCTCTGTCTGTCTATCTGTCAGTCTGACAGTCTGACTCTCAGGACTCCAGCCTCCAACCTCCAAGACTTTTTTTAAAAATATTAAAAAACCAAAACATAACGTCTATATGTAAAGCCATAGCGTACTTTAAACAATGAGGCCTGTCGCCTGCGCCCAGCAGTTCCATGACCCTAACTAGAGACAACCCTAAATATAGAAAACATATATATAGTAGTAGCCTTCTAAATTTAAAAAGCAAAAAGTAGAAAATAATAGGCTGAACGGACGAAGTCCGAAGGACGTTAAAATGTTCAATACATTTTATTTTACCCGTTCGGTTCATTCAACGACGCTGAGAGAACTATTGGGAAGAATCGCGTACCTTTATGTCTCTCGATTGGACAAATTGGTTTGAGAACTTGAGGTTGTTGTTCGTATGTGAATTTGTTTATTTTGGTAGCTTCTAGTATCTAGTCTTTCTCTGTAGTGATCTAAATACAGCGCGTGTCCTCTGTATCAGCATTCTATATGGCAAATTTCCTAATTATAATCGAAGTGCGTGCCATGGAAGGTTAAAGTATCATCGTAGATTTCTTGGTTTTGCCCTTGAATACAAGGATGAGACATATTTGACACCAAGTGCTCCAGAAAGTATTTCTATAATTTAAGGTTTATAAGGTCAACTGTGCTTGAGAGGTTGTAAAGTGAATTATTGTATGTGTGCAGATCTGTTCGTGTCTTTCGATGCGTTGCTTGAATATTTAAGATTAGATGATATTGTTATGAGACTTGTAGCATATAATTGACATCCGCTCTGATAAAAATTTACAATGATATACTTCGAATGTGTGTGCGTCTGTAAGCATTCGTGTTTTGTTATACTTGTGTGTACCTCTAAATGTGTCTGTATATATATACCTGGATGCCCCTGTGCAAGTACGAGCTTCTGAATGCTCGAATAGAGAAGTATCTGTGTATCTATCTGTAGCACAATCCTATTTATATGCGTGTATCTATTTTTGTGCACGCTTGTATGTAGTATGTGATGAATTTGATAGGTGTGTTGCAAGTACATATCCACACCATATCGCGGCAAGTGAAGAGGTACAAAATGGGCCTGGATAGAACTAGTTGAAATATTTAACGCAAGAGCCTGCTCAAACTGTGTTTCTCCAGTCTGACTCGCAGTAGGGACGAGAGGTTATATATATTGACCGAGTTTCTCCAGGAGAAGTCAAACGTGGCGGTGGTGCCTGAAGGCTCTACTACAGTCTGTCCAATAAATAAAAACACAGTTTTTAAATGCTTGAACTGGCCAGTGGCATCCTGGCCTACTTTAGCACGAAAATTACAATCGTGTTCTGATTGGTTGTATCACATTGTAGAATGTAGAATTGTTTAGGTTGCCGGTCAGCATTTACTGAGCATTGTGAGCAATGCAATTGCCATTTTAAAAACATAGCTCTAAAAAGAGTATAAAGTTTAAAATAAGCTTGTATAATTTTTTTATTTTATGCATCTCAGCTCTGCGTACCCAATGGTCAACGGTGTCAGATAGATCTGAGCTATCTGTAAATTGTACCATGGAACATGCTTTATAAGTTCATATATATACTTTTTGTATATATACATATAATTAAATAATACTAGAGCACAAATCTCGACATTGTATATTGACATATTGTAGACGACTGTACATCGGCGGCGACAATCCCAGCTCATGATAGGTTTATACGCTCCTGTAGACTGTAGCATCATCGAATTATAGTCGTTACCAGTAGCAACGTATAACACAAACACGTGTCTATCCCAAAGCGTAAACTTCCCCTTCTAGTTAATAGGATTTCTAAGCGCGTTGGACTAATTGTCAGCAGCATTGTGCAGCTGGTGATTCTATACATTTAATCAGAAATTGAATAGGCAGTACAAGAGTTTCTAAAATACACATACCATGTTCAAACTCACTTCCAAAGTCGCGACTGCTGTCGGTTTTCTAGCTTGCGTCCAGGGTCAAGGAATGCAAAATGTGTTCTCCATGCAAACGTATACAGGTGGATGTATGCGAATTAGTGGAATTCCTGTCTTCGGGGGGGTAAAGGCGACCATCGAAAAGCCTTGCGGTACTTACGAATCATACCGATACGTCAATAACGAAATACGGTAAGTGGACAAATTTCTATCAGTTGTTTTGGTATATTTAGAAAGCATATAGGATGTGATACAAACATCTTTTCTTGTCATTTGCGGGTAGATGTTTATCACAAGCTTCATACATACCTTAGTGTATAGTGCAACCATACCCTTGTGCAACATACTTGGTATACTTGATTTGTGACTAATAAACCTGTACTTGCTTGCAGATAATATCGTGCGATATGTAAGTTTAGCGACCATCTTTTGTGTCAATATTGTTGGCTACTTCAACAGTGTTTTTGTCAACATTCATACATGGCCGATACAACTATAAAATCTCTCAGCAGTGTTTGTGTCAACATTCATACCTGACCGTTACAACTACTGAATAGTTTGTATCTATTGGCATACAAAGAGCACACTACAGTCACAATTATTGTGATGAATTGAACTGAACCGCACTTCTAGCACCTGCATATTTATCAGGAAGCATGCCATCTCAATCTGATGATTTTCTCCTTCGTTGTTATTATAGAAACACTAATACAGGCGGTAAGCAAAAGTACTGTTTAATGAGTGCGCCTGACTTTTCGGTGTATTGGTTGCCAGTACCAGTTCCAATACTAGGGATGGAGGTTGTAGATACTTGTTCAAAATGGAATAGCGTCATTGTGGGTGATGCCGAACATTGGTTTATCAAGGTAGGTGGCTATGTGTTTTTTTGTCCTTTACACAATTACTGTGTCTATTTTGCATAAAATTGTGTTCGATGAACGTTGTGTATCAGAGTATAGCTGATCAGGCTCATTAGGATATCTTCGGAAGTTTCCGCATCAGACGGTGAACGAATAGGAGGGCGATAAATTCTTTGACTTTCATCTTCTTAGTGTAACTAAAAGGGGGATAGCACAATTATTAAAAAATGTGCTTACACATTCATGCAAGGTCGCCAACGTGCAAAAACTGACTTGTATACACTCGCATCTTAACATGTACCATGTAGCCTACTGTTAGGTTTGCATGCGATATATGCAATATTACCATATCTTATACCATCCAATTGCGGATCGGTTCTCCGCTTTGGACAAACCACATATGTGGTGTCGGTTACACGATATACTGTATTCAATGTCGAAACCAACCACTGGATATCTGGCACACGCACAGTTATAGATACATCCACCAGAACTCAAGTAAAATTCAAGTTGACTATAACATACTGTCGAGCATGTTGGTCCTTATGCGCGTTCACCTGAGTAAGTAGGTTACACTACGGGTCTGTGAAATTTTCAATTGTAAATCTGCATCCCGGCTTTTAGTTACGAACAGGATGTACGTTCCGTTCCTCGCCGCCATGTATGGACGTTCTTCCCTAGTGAACAATCATTAGCAGTAGTCTGTCTCGCTCACTATTGTATATTTCGCCGCACATTCCACAGATTGATCAGTTCTGCGTAGACTGGGCTACCGATCCAATGGCTACCCGAGACTGCAGAGTCAATACCATAGACCAACGCTGGTCACTACCTCCTGTGCCTTTGCCCTCTCCCAGTAGTTCCCCATCTGGGCCACCAATCAACGGAGTGGCTAGCAACTCACCCACACCTTCGCCATTTGACGTCGTGGCACCGTCAAGGACACCGGGGACACAGCCCACAGCCACGGGATACGTGATTGTGAATCAGGAGTCTCAAACCTGCATCGCTCGTGGGAAAAAGCGTATGATAGGAGTATTTGTGTTCTGAAGAATCACATGGATGTACATATATTTTATATATACACAGACACAAACACAGACACAGACACAGACAAAGACAGAGCCACACGCACACACGCACACAAGCTTAGACTAATAGACAGACACAGACACTGACACAGAAACAGACAC